CCGATGCGGGGCGGCCCCCCGCCCCAAGGCTCGTTCGGAGGGGGGCGCCTGCCCTGGAACGCCACCGGGACGCGGTCGCAGCCTGCAGACCTGCCCGTCTGGGCGCTCGCTTCCTCTCCGCGTGGCTGCCATCTTGACTTTTTCGACCGTGCCCCGCCTGTGTTGAGTCCCTGCTTGCTTTCTGTGGCTTCCTCTCCTTAGGTGGCTCTCACCCAGCCCCTCGCCCTCTTGTATCTTTGTCTTTTAGGCTTTTTTGACTGTATTGTAATTTCTTTGTTGTGAGCCGCCAGAGTCCTTGAGCGTCGGGCAGCATACAAGTTGAATAAATAATAGTAATCATCGTCATCACCACTGATGCGCCCCCGACCGCTCTCTGCTCCTGCCACTCCTGCCACTCCTCCTTGCTGCTGCTTCCGCCCTAATCCGGGATCCCACGCCTAGACCTCCCCTTTGTAAGACTTCCACGCTCCTCCAGCTCCCCAGTCCTTTACCCTACGTTGCCCTCGGGGGATTTGGGGGGAGCACCGGCCGCCCTTGTCTTTGGAAGACCTGACAGTTGCTGAGGACGATTTTACGGGGATCAAGAGGGCTCTGTTCTTTCAGACCACACTTCTGCATTTCCGTCATGTTCCTTAGAGATAGAGACGCAGTGATGTTTTGCTTAGCCAGGGCGTCCTCTCTCGAATTAGGGTTGGGGTTCCTTCCCGCTCTCGGTTGACCTGCGACAGTGTGGGCTTTCTGTGTTTGGAAAGAGGCCTTGGTTGGGGAGAGCGTGGTGTGGCGAGAGGACTGCCTGCAAACACATGTCTTCTGCTCAGATCTTAAATATAAGGTTCAGCCTCTTCTTCCCCTCAGTCTGCAGTATGGAAATAATAATCCTGGCCCACAGTTATGAATCATAACTTTAATTTTATCCATTTGCATGGCTCATTGTGCTGTTGTTCTGCTTGTAACACCCCTCAGTGAGTTCTAACTGGCATGGATGGGAATTGTTTTTTCCTTTCCCTGAATTCAAATAGTGTAATGTTGCTTCTTATCTACAGTAATGTGTGTTTCTTTTTCATCGTTTTGGGCAAAAAGAAAAAAACACTGTCTGAATTCACTTAGGCCATATGGTGTTTCTAGATGGAAAAATGATATTTAATTTTGGAGGGTGTGTCTGTATCTGTGAGGTAACCCATCTAGTTTTCAGATGAAACAGAAGGAGGAATATATTGAAAGAGAAGAGTCCCAGGACGCCTTCCACTTCATTTCCTCATCAGAGTTAGATTTCTGGCTTGGATGGAAAAGCAGTGACATAACCAGACCTTTGTTTGCTTTTCTAAAGAAGTGCTGATCTTCTACCTCTCATGGATTAATCTAGTGCAGTGATGGCAAACCTTTTGGGCTCGGCGTGTCAAAAATTCAGAAAATGCCTAACTTGACTCTGCTGG